TACATTTTAGATGACAGTGTTATTTAAACAGGTATGTGCGCTTCGAACAGTCACTATTGTTGGCCCGGATATTGCAGTAACGAACTGACGAGAGGCTGCTCGTGCGCGCCAAATTTCAAAAGTATACGGCATAGTGGGGAAACTTCCTGCCAGCCAAATAAGCTACCATCTATTCTGACATGTGGAACGGTTGTGTTTGGTCGTAATATGGAAAAGAAGCAGGCTAGAAGCAGCACAAATTCCACAGCGTGTCAATATCTTACTGATATGTATGGTAACTTCCAGCCTTCGAATTTCAAATTTGATTTTGCTGCGGAATATACCATCGATACCAGTGGCTACACGAAACCACCTTTCATAAGCGAATCCCATTTTGGTATAACAGACTTTGCAACAAGTGTCGTTAAAATATCTGTTGATGGTAAGAAACAATTACAAATAAAGTACTTTTACCTTATTAAAAATGAAATGGATATATTTTTAAGAGGTCCAAAATACCGAGGTAAACCTAATATTTTATCTTTTAAGGCAGTGAAAACAAAGCGTTTTATAAATTCTTTAAATACTATTCATAAAGTGGGGTTTTACATTTTTGTTAATTGTCTGTTATCAAAGGTTTAGGTATTAAATATTGAACTTCCATGTTTTCAATTGTTATAATCTAAGTCATTCAGAAGCATGTTCTGTGCGTTGATCCGTTTTAAAATTCTACCTACAAATATCAGAGACGAAAAATCAAACGCAACCCTGTGCTTCAGGCTAAACTTTAATTTATATTAGCTCACCTTCGGTAAAACATGTACAGAAAATTCGCTAAATAAATCTAAATATATTTTTTAGAGTTTTTATTAAGAAATGTATAGTTCATTTGTCACACTTATACAGAAGGTAGGAATACTTATTGTTATTAGGGAAACGTTCCACTGAAAGTTCCACCAATCATTTAGTGGACAGATCATCCAGCGTTTATTGTAAGCCGACACTTTTTGACTCGAAAAATGTATCAGTTTCATCTGAACTTCAAGACGGCCAAGCGTAAATATTCTTCATATTATTTTAACTATTTTATCTTTACATTTGCTTTTTTTTATATAAATCATAAAAGCAACCACAAATTTGTTTTTATAGGCATTCGTGACCGCGTGACTTCAAACCACTAGGTCTTTATTGCCTTTGGTTTAAAGTCCGCCATTGACATTGGATTGTATCATGATACAAAATTATAAAGCTAGCTTACGATTATAAGTGGTTCTACTCAAGTTCACGCTAGTGCAGTCTGGTATAATTCATGGAGAGGTAGCGTAAGTCATTCTGCACTAGTAAAACTGGGAAGTCAAAATTTGACCTTTACAGTGTGAATGAAAGAGCTTATAAAATATTCTAAGGATATAGTCGACCGACTACAAATACACTAAGAAAATCATAATAATTTATTTCTTATTCAAAGACAACACATCTAAATATTATATTGTTTTATTTACATATTGTATATCATACGGGAATATCTAAAGTAATTATAATTAATTTTGAAGCATAATAAAGAAACATACATTCAAATTTAATGAAAACTTCTTAAATGAGAAGATATTCATTAAATCAAAACAGACAGTCAAATTAAACGTAAGTGTTGGTTTTATATTTTAAGACCCTTGGGTGTTTTCATTGTTTAAATTTACGTGTACTCCTATTGATGTGTTTGCAGTTTATTGAACATGTACATTCCATGTCGTTACTGTTTTATAACTTTTTTGTTTTAGATTATGTCTTCAATTTTGCGTAGATGCAGGAGGATATTTGAAGAGCAAAGATAGGGTCTCACACCGAATTTCGTCCGCAGTACCTTATCGAAAAGTTCATAAAACACATGAGCTTTGCTACAGGTTTGACAATACTTCTCCAAAACATTGCCGAGAAAAGGCTAACTGCAGTTACGATCCAATTCAGTTTGAAAGCCGTGTAATACGATCTACAGATATCGTTGTTGAATTTAAGGGTTGGTATGATCCGGTTCCAGCTGGCGGCATTTCGAGCCAAGCATCTTCTATTGAAAGTTATCAGATCACGGTAAACGAGGTTACTATGTCAACATACAATATACAGGTCAATTACATGACAAATGTGTACACAAAGAAGGTTAATTTCAAAGAGAAGAAAATATTGTTAAATGTGACTTCTGAAAAGCCTATATTATACTGCGTGACATTAGAAGTTAAAGACGTGGCCGATAATGTAAAACAAGCAAGACGGTTCATCTTGTATGACAGTTCCTCTTTTATCGAAACCTGGGAAGAAAAACAATTTTATTTTACTTCTGCTTCGATACAAACCAATTATAAATGGCAGACTCATCATCATGACATATGTCTTAATTGGAAAGACCATTTTCTCAACCGATTCTACTTAGACAATCCTTTGCTGAACCCCATTGCATCGGAACCCCATGGATTAGTTACTGGAATTTATGAACAAAACGATGGTGTTCTCCCAGTTTCTGGTACTCCAAACGTACATGGCATTGTTAAGACCTTGGTATCCTGGACATTAAATGATGGGTCTCCTTCTGCAGAAATCGAAGTGCCAAATTTCCTAAACCAGTCTTTTTGCAATGACTTCAAAGTGCAAGATGGTCAAACGTACACAATATTTATTCATTTGGTTGACATTGCTAACAACACTTTAATTGAAAACAGAACAGTGCATATTGACCGGTCCGTACCTCATATAAACAATATTTGGCTCGTCAAGGATGGTTACAAAGTCCTGTTTGTTCATCATATGACGGATTTATCAAAAATGCAGTTGCACTTTGAAGCCTTAGACCCACACAGCGGTGTAAGACAAATAGAGTGGACATTTGGTAATAGTATTACAGAATTAACATCAGGTTCTCTGATTATAGGATCTTTTAAAGAAGTAAGTATTTTATCAACACAAAGTAATTTAGACAGAACAGACTTCCTAAATGACATCTCAAATGAAAAACGATGATGACAATATTAATACGCAAACACAATCACACATCTACATAGTATTCCAGCAAACTAAAATGTTTTGATTTTGTGTATAAAAACAAGTGTTAACAGATAACCTCAGACGAGACGAGTAAATTATATCGTGATTTAATACAGAAATTTTAAGCCGTAATTAATGAATCTCATTTCTACTTATTAAATACAATTATAATGAGTTCGATTTTTGAAATATGTTTTTCATTAAGATCAAGTTTAGCCTAAAGAAGGAATTATGTGAGTTCCTTGTCTTTAATTGTTATAGCTGGAATACAAGCCAAGTTGATCATCATTTTCTTACTATTACAGACAGCCTGCCCACAGAATGCTGAAAAATGTTACTGTCCAGATGTCGGTAAATGTGAGTTTTATAACTACACAGTACCACTTAACAAGCTAATTGCCATCAATAAACACGTGGGCAATCACAACAGAAAATACTATTTCACTTTAAAGGTTACCAACAATGCACAATTGGTTAACATAGAACGCATAAATATTTTGGTTGATGACTCCCCACCGGAAGTTGGTATTATCTTTGAAGGTAATTATGTTTTGTAGATAAATCTATTGAAAAAGTTATATGGAAATATCATTCATAATCAATCCACATTGGAGACATAACTCTTTTTATAGATAAAAACAATCAAATCCTTCAGGTCAGGTTTTTGAAAATCCAAAATTAGAAATGGGTCCCTAGATACGGATCCCCCTTGCAATTTTTCAATGATATACGAGGAAATTAAAACATATAAAACAAAGAGGATAGTAGACACACACAATTTGACCTTCAACCTCATTGTCCAACAGTGCCCTTGCAGACATTGGTCTTGTGCATGATACACGTTATAAGTTATAGGGCAAATTACTTTACAATTGCCTTCCAACCAAAAATGTCTTTCTCTTGAAGAAGATGAAGGCTTAAGTCTTGCATGCGACACAAAGTCTGACAATCCATCAAGTAATGAAAAAAATATTAGTCTGACAGTATTTGATAATTTACTACCGAGTAAAAACAATACTTTGAAGATACAAACTTATACACACGAATTCTCTACTTATTGTAGTTATGTGTACAGATTTCTTTGAAATCCCACCATGCATGGAGAAGTTACAGATAGGCAACTTAAGTTTTACAAAACCAAAATGGCAAAACGCTCCTGAAGTTCAATCCCTTGTTTTGACTTCGACCTTTACATTACAGAGTGACAAAGGGTTTATCACCACATATGTATTTTATATTGCCGGACCGAAAATGTCAAAGTTATTGAGTACAATAGTCACAAAACATTCTTCTTCAACTGATCCTAATTTTTTGTCTTCCTAGATTAAGTGGAGGCCAGCTTCACTTAGTCCGTTCCTTACTTTTACTTAGTAAATATTAAACAGTTCAAGCCTTTTATTAGATCCAAGAAAATAATAATAAGAACAGAAACTTGAATTGAAATCAATTTTTTAATAAGTTGTATTTTTCAGGACCAGCGGATGCTAAAGACATAGATTATACAAGCGACGATAACTTTTTTGTCCATTGGCACGGTTTTATCGATCATGAAAGTGGAATAAAGGAATACAAAATAGGTATTGCATCACGTTGCTTGAGCCAGAAAGAACTTTACGGTTTGAGAAATGTCTCGGATACAATATTTGTTACAAGTGTCCCATTCACTGAGACGTCCGCCCGTATACCTGCAAACTTTACGGGTAAACGGTACGTATCCCTTATTGCCTTAAACAATGCAATGGACCCATCGGCAGCAGTATGTTCTGATGGGATAGCTCGAGATCTTTCGCCACCTTCTATTCGAAATCTTACACTGGAGCATGCGACATGGTCAGAAACATTAGTGTGCCATGAAGGACAAACATGGCTATTCCATTCAACGTTATCAAAAATCAAACTTCATAATGAACCAAATTGTAATGACCTATGTAAAAACAATCAAAAACAGAATTATCTCGCGTCAGCCCTTCCAACACGGAAAAATTAAAGAAAACAACTCAGATGTATCGCATGTCATGTGTGGATCAAAGAGCTGGTACCAAAACAATTCAATAATATACCTACCAAACACCCACATAAAACTAGAATGGGACATTGAAGAGGACGAAAGCCAAATTGATGACATCTTTGTAGGAATTGGAACTGACCTTACTGAATTGAATTCACCGAGTATTGGCGCATACAAATCAACTTTAAAACGGAATTTGTTCCAATATAACCATGTAGGAATCGGATCGGATGTATTTTTCTACCTCTTTTGAAAAGTTGTCAACAAAGCCAGTCGAGAAAGTGTTTTAATGTTAGGGCCTATTTTGATAGATGAAACGCCTCCAAATTTGTAGAGAAATTCCAAAGGTTTATCATTGAAGAAGAATATATTGTTGTTGGTTGGGAAAATAACACATTCTATGACATCGAGCAGGACGAGGAAATCAATTCTATTTATTTTGAAATAGGTAAAATAGTCTTAAATATGTTACATATCTCAAAGTATCAAAAAATAAAAAGATAAGTGACATAAATATTGATATTTTATAATAGTAATCGATTAATAACTGAGTACATGTCTAACAATTTAAAACTTATATGTCTAATAATGTTTGACCTTTCTATCCAACACAGGGTATGCCAGCACCAAAGTCACATCGTTGTTAAAGTGGGATCATGAAATATCTGCGCCGTGTTCCGAATATAGTGGTGGTTGTTTCAAGTACCCTATCAAAATACTACAAAAGCAAGATAATGATCTCGGTTTGTACTTCTATATAAATATGCACGTATACAACAAAGCTGGCCACTTCATAACTGTTTCCACAGATACGTTTAAGATACCTTCAACCTACCCACCGGGTCACGGGATTGTTTTTGACAGTGACCCGAAAAATGAGGCCTATGAGTTTGATACTAATGCTCATTTTACGGCACACACTTTGTGTTTAAGATGGTACGGTTTTAAGCATCATGAGTCCATCAAAATTGAAGTCGGTATTGGGTCTAATAACATTACAGACAATGTTGTTCCTTACAGTACAATAAATCTCTCAACAAATTATTACTGTATTAAATCTTCCAAAATTGAGTTTCAACAAACGTACTATGCACTTGTTAAAGCATCTTGTACTGGAGGGTTTACTGTGTCTTCATCGAATGGAATTATGATTTTGAATGAAAGTAAGCTATTGAACTCGCTTCATGTTAATCTCGGAGAGGAGTGCTCATATGTCAATCAAGTTTATTCCAAACGTATCAATTTACCAATAGCTAATTATTCAGTGACATTTCCAGCTTATGTAGGAAAACGATATAAACTCTTTGTTTACAACAGTTCAATTGATTCAGTTGTCACTAATGACGGTATAATTGAAAACGACACGGGAAGCAATAATACCTTTTACTTTATATCATTTGTTGAATATCCTAAAGTTTGGTTACACTTTATTTCTGCCAACGGAACAACAAATCAAAAAGTGGAATTATCTATTCATAAATGTCCCTATGCCAAATATTTAACTGAAAGAAAAGGCGTCACTGCACATTGGTTTTATGACGACCATATTTCTTATGGACTGACGTTTCAAATCGCTATACTTAGAATAAGAAACGTAACTGGCAATATATCTGCTGTACCCTTCAAGCAATATGAATCAGCTTTAAATCACCAAACTTTCAAGTTTCAAAAATTTGGTTTAGAACTTAACAAGTTTTACAAACTAGCTGTTAAACAATGCACTAATGTAACATGCCTCGATCCGGTATATTCTGAAAGTTTTAGCGTGAGTCGGCCGCCAGAAACAGGCAAAATATATGTGGCCCGTCTTTTTAAAGACACTAAAACAGCTTCTGCTGAAATAGATTTAAAGTGGAATGCTTTTCATAGCGGCAACTTGATACGGTTTTACCAGTGGGCTGTTTCTAATGACGATAAAGGGAAGAATATTCTGACAGAATGGCAAACAATAAAAGACACGAAAAGAGAACTCTTTCTGGTGAGTTAGTCTGTTGTTTTAAAAACAAATGATATTACAATGTATATAATGCGAGGTATATTCAAAACGTTTGTGTATAGCGGCTCTACAGTTTATATCTGTTCATTTGCGTACACGTTTTTAAAGAGACAAACATCAAGACATGTCCTTAAAATTAAGAAAGTAAAACAATATAATATGTTGACGGGTTTTAATTCTGTGCGACCCCGTACACACTCACAAAATATCATATGGCGTCGATGTGATGTCGCATAGTCAACAGCGTCGTTGTTTTTAAAGAACTTTCCCAAGTGTTCAGTGTGTCCGGATCATGTAACCATAAACAGTTTTGGTTGTTAAAATGAAGCGAGAAAGAAAGCGGTAACCTTCCCTTTCCAGTCTCCGCATAAACATCAGAGAGTCGGTAACCCATTGCTCTCAATCGTGCGCTTTGTGTCACTTAAAATGTATATAAAATGTATAATTTATAAGATTAGTTTTGATATAAGTGTCAATTGATAAACGTCCAATTTTAAAACAATATGACTATGTAAAGTAAAGTGAAAGTACAATATCATTTGAAAACTTTTATCTTCAGTAGACACAGGCTAGCATTTATTAGGGAAATGATACTTATAATTACTGCGTATCATTATAATGTTAATTGATATTATTTATTTTAATTTGCATATATACAGGCAAATACAATTATAATATTGTTTAAATTCGATGATTGTTTGACATTAATGAGGAAACCTGCTATTTGAATTACAATGTCGTACAGCTCACGAATAGTTAATACAGTCGATTCTCTATAGTCCGATTAAAGTAAAATTTAACGTCAAACAAATTGCAACACAAGCTTTTTTTACATTTTTAGTTTGTTATACACATCATATAAAACAGGTAAAAACCCTTAAAAATCTAACCATGGCAAACCAGTAAAAAAGCAATTCAAATTTTGCATTTGTTTCGAGTTTTTATATGGCTCTGCATGTACACCATACACAGAGTTTTATACTGTAACCGGTGTCGAGGTAAACAAAAGTTATGAGGCCGCGCGATTTAAATATATCAAAATTTACACATTTACTACTTGGAGTTGGATTTAGAAGCTGTTGTGCAAAGTATGTATAATTTTTCATATTATGTTTACTTGTTTTTACAACTTTTAGCCTCGTACATGCCCAAATATCAAATACAATGAATGAATTGTAATGGGTTTTCGCGTGTATGTAAATCAGCGATTGTCGTTTAAAACAGTAAAGATTTTGCAAATTTCATGCGATATAAATAATCATTAGCCTATATATTAACATTCCTTTTGATAATAAGATGTTTATGAAGTAGGGAAAATAAAAATAAACAAATGTAAGTTTATCCTGGGTAGTTTCAAAATGTAACTACGGAAGCGTGTTTGGGTAAACAATGCACGAAATCTAGAATAAATTGTTATTAATTTTAGAATCATAAATGCATGATATTTATTAACAGATCATTAGTTTTTGGTATAAAAATGTCATTGTGTATGATAGCTACTATGTTTTCATTTAAATAACATTTGGAAGATAAGAATTGAAAGGTAATACGAGTATATTATCTTTTTTACATACTAGTGATATATGAGATGTCAGGAGAGTCAAAAACAGATACATAATTTACAATGATTATGTAATTTCAAAATTGTGATTCCAAAAAAGGGAGAAAACTTATTTTACAGTCACAGTAAGCAGTTTAAATTGTTGTTGAGCTCCATGGTTTAACCAGAGACAAAGATAACATGCTATCTGTGTCTCTGGTTTAACTTAAAATTGTTCTACAAATATTAATGAGGAGCTATATTTGCGTTTAACTGTTGCTTTGCCAGCGGTAATAGATCCCCATTTTGAGTGTTAAATTCGTTGTACAATTTTACAAACACATCAGATAAGATAGCTTCAATACAAACGTAATGAATCAGAGAAGTTTGTGCTAATATAGATATCTGTATGTCCATCTACACCGTCTGTCTTTCTGTTTAAAAACATGTCTATCTGCCTTTCTGTCCGTCTGGCTCTCTGTTTTTTGTCTTTACCAAAAAATGAAATTTGATATTTGTAAAACTTGATTCTGAGATACTGTTAACATCTGCCTATCTTTAATAGGGTTTGTCTATCTGTTTGTTTTCTTTTCATTATGCTTTTCGTCCTATATTTATGAAAACTACAGCATATGGTCTGTGAATCATATTGAAAGCATTGGCCTAAACGAACAGATAACTCATTTATATGAAGACAGTGATGATAAATAGTTCGAGTGCTTTTTTTTGATAAGCCAAAAATGAAAGCCCTGTCATACCTACAACCATGTGACCACAGGGGAAATGCCTCCTTTTATTTAATTCTGTTTCTCTCGTCAATAACAGTTACAGATGTAATTTAAATATATGGTAAAAAAGTGATCCCTCAGATGCATTAAAAAGCAAATTTACATGAAAATTGCAGATCCGGTTTGATTGAGTCTGTATATGACGGATAATGAAAAAGTGCAACATCCCTCATGCCCCCTAGCACCGGATTGAGCGGAACTAAATTCTCAACACTTTAAAGTGCTGGATTCAATGATCCCGAAAGACCAGAAAAATATAACAATACTGAAGTGAAGTACGGGGCAACTTTTTACGGCTGCCACACAGCACTTCACATCTATAAATATCTGGTAAAATAAGTGATCCCTCGGAAGCCTTAAAAAACAGCAAATTTACTGAAAATTAAAGGCATGGTTTGATTGAGTCTGTGATCATGAAAGCTGTATTTGACGTTGAACATACGTTTTGCTCTATAGTGCACCCAAATTTATTGCATTTCTCTGAAGAGGACTCCACTTTTTGGGTAAAATTTATTTGATGAATAGTATTATTTTTTGAAGACCAGACAATGTTTTTTTGTAATCTCTTTTTAATTCCATTTTAGATGACTGGATGTAAAGCCGAAATGATAGAAAAGAGTATTGTTATCATTACGACGAGAAGAGAAAACTGCAAGAGACCATAATATGATTAGAAGTTCAGAAACAAGAAAAAAATGTTGAACGTATATTTATTTAAGACAATAACTGTGTAAGTTGCAGAAAGAACCTAAATTTCGTGGCGATGTTGTCAGTAAAGTTGAAACCTTCAACTTTCATGTTTAAGTAAAACAAGACACTTTAAGCGTGAAGTAAGGTCCTAGGAAGAATTAAAGGCGTAAATGGCCTCCTGACAGCTAAAATACGTTACCACCATTGTTGTTACAGTAACAGTCATTTCAAGACGTCCTTTTTATGAAAAGTGCATACACACGACTCGTAAATCTAGTGAAAAGACCATCGAAAACAGCAGGAGAAAGCTTTTTAACCACTATGCAATACTTTGAAAGTTATTGAAAGGATAACTTTTTTTTTAATGTGACTAGGTGCAGTCGAACTAATGAGCATTATGAGAGATATAGAGATGTGGAGATCACTTAAATATCTCTTTATATAATAAGGAAGAAAACATAAATAGGTTAAACAAGATGTGATGGCATTCAATATTAAAGGTGAATTTTTTTAAAGCAACCTAAATGATACATGACATAAAATTGGCATTTTAAACATATAAAATTCTAATTTTGAAACATTACTAAAGACATAACTACAGCTCATTTTCAGCATTTATTCTTCACTAACTTAAGTGTTGTGCAATATAGATAGTTGGACCATCCTGGCAATGATAGATGAAGTTATTTCTACTAAATCATGTTAAAAGTGATAGTTTGCATAACATTTATGGGTAATATTTGGATGGATGAGACTTTGGTAATGTACAAATATGTTAAATGACACAGAAAAAGACTAAATAATGAGTTTCTTTCAGAAATTGAGTATATTACCAGATGCATTGTTTGTTGTAACTAAGTTTGTTTTCTTTATTTTTATAAATTATTCAAAAATAGTTAAAAAATGCTAGAATAATGTCAATGTAATTGATGTAACGTATGTTACATTTTGCTTAAGTGATTATGTTTCTCTATTATTTATATAAGCTTATGTGATATAAATATTACTTGAACCTCTTTTCAATTGTAAATATTAGGTATTTTTAAGACAATGCAATTTGAACGTTTTGCATTATTATTATGAGTGGGTGGGGTAATAATCCTGTGTGTCACAAGTGAATAAATAATAAAAAAGAGGCCAAACCTGTTATTATTCATTGCAAATTCTATTTTTATGAACACCAATATATGCTGGCTAAAAACTACCAATCTAAAACAGAGAAAGACAAGACAGTCGCCACATATTAAACATATTACGATATTATGTATTACGAATTTTATGCCTGGACAGGTACTCGTAAACTACTTGCCAAAAGTCAAGTTTCCGAAGGTATATTTTTTTAGGGTTTTACTACCAGGTCCATGCATATATATTGATTGCAAAATACTAAAGAAAGCTTGTGTTGCTATTTGTTTGATGTCAAGCTACATATACTCATAACTTTAGTGGCCTACTAGTGGCGCTTTTGAAATTGACGTGATTATCGTTCTGAAAATTTGCTGATTTCTCCCTGGCTCTATATTTCTAATTTATGCTTCTAACAACTGCTATTTAAAACTTGTTTCTTAAGCCATTGAATGTTGAAATGATGACGAGTTTCTGAATTATGTCAAGGAAATGCCAACTGACGTTTACTTTTGCATTTCACCCTCAAATGACATATCAATTAAATTTAACACTGATTTACGTTAAAATGATGTAAGAAACACATCGGTATACGCCGATGTTGCGTTGTATGGTTCATAATGTGCACATAAAATGTGAAAAGAAATAAACCTTTACAATGAAAGAAAACCTTACTTTTAGAAATAAAGACACCCTTTCGATTCATATCAACCAATATTGTTAATATCGGCCATGTAAACGAAGTCGGGAAGAGTCAAAGACCATTTTGATCATACCTCGTATTCATATAAGATTGTTTGCATAATTGATATTCTATTAAGAGAACATACCCTTTAATGTGTTATATTTACATAAATCAGGTACATACATCGATTGATCTACCTATGCATCTCCATTCAACGAAGTTCGGTTGTATTCGTGCCTTCGACAAAGCAGAAAACGAAGCATCCCAGTGTCAACAGATCGAATACATGGCAAATGGAACTTATATGGCGTCTACCGTTTATGATTTTGATTCAAACGCCATGGCCTGGAACAAAATTAAAAACGTAAGCTTAATTATGTTATCACTACTTGTATTGAAGTTACCTTATATCTTTAGTTGCAAAAAGTAAATATTTATTCACATTTGTTAAACTATAACTTAATTGTAAAGTGTATGTACTTTGTTATTACCATTTAGTTTCCTTTTTTAAAGATACTACACAGTTCCAATTTTGGAAGTCTATATACACTTCTTCACGACAATGAACTGGACTTTGGAACACCAGACACAGAGGTTGTTGGTGCAATGTTGTATGCATCCGAGCGGAATATCACGTGGCTTTTGATGGAAGACCCATCGTCGTGTGACTTTAGTAAAGGGTGTGTTGTTGAAAAAGTAACAAACACTGGCTTTGTATCATTTGATAAGACAGTTGTTAAGTTCAATACATTTTACTACATATGTGCTTACTCTGTTACGACATCTGTAATTAGAGAGTTGAATACAGAAGTGTTAGATGAAATAAAAACGTGTAGCAACGGTTTTGTTCTTGATAGTATTGCCCCAGTAGCTGGAAAAGTGGAAATCCAAAACAATAATGGGTTCCTTGCCAGTCTTGATGACATTGAATTCTCCTGGAATAAATTTGAAGATAACATAGATGCGACACAATTTGGATATCTAAGCAATATAGCAACATACACCTATGGAGTAGGTATGACGTTGTGGATTATATACTAATATTCAGTTCCGCTAAACAGAATTAATAACTTGATTATTATAGACTCAATTGGTCATTTCTCTTCGTAAATTTACTAAAGTACTGATGTGACGTATGGAATGAACTAAAAATCGTATTTCTAAGCTCCACAGTATCAGATTATGAAATATTTGCCCGATAAGAGTTTGTGATTGACGTTAATAACTAAACATACGAAGTACTTTTTTGCTCAATGTTTTACCACAAAAATGTATAATACGTTTTAGGAAGTCGCCCTCTCAAAGACGATATCATACGGTTTACAAATGTGGGTCACAAAACACGATATGTTATCAACAGTCTGGATTTGCATGATGGCGCATCTGTTTTTGTAACCATTAAAGGTTTGTAAAATAAAATACAGTCATCAATAATATAATAAGATGTAAAGCATCTTCTACTAATAACATTAAAACTTTTTTAATATTTTGTGTGAGTTTGTGAAAATTTAAGGCACATTATGCCTCAGAAACGTTAATTAAAAAGTTACTTCTGTAGAAAACGCAAATATGAGTAGATTATCGTTTAAATAATGGTTTTAGAGGGTTTTAGATGCTTGTTACCTGAATATAGCTGTAATTATGAAATCATTTGTCTTAAAAATAAAAACAGAAAATATAAACAAAGTAGTATGTATTATGAACTCAATACAAAATACTCAATCACTATAAATGTACTAAATCCACAAAGGCAACAGAAGAAACAGAGGGTTCAATGAATTGGCCTATAAGCAAAAAATAAAAGCTATTGAGAAATAAAAATCATTTTTAAAAAAAGCATTTTTAGACATAATGGGCCTTTAAAATTGTAAGTAATAAGTCTCAGATTTTACCTCTTTAAATGTGACACGTCATATACCGGTATGTAAATATGGTTTGTATCTATTTTAATGTAGCTACAGCTGGTGGTCTGAACCATTTTAACAAACGCATTGAAAATCAAACTGAGAACATAAATAAAATATTTCAGTTCTTTTAAAAGTTCTGAGATACTTACACTACAAGTGATGATATAAAACTATATAAATTTTAATTTCCGATTTGTAAATAATTTAAATGAACATTTTAAATGTAAAAATGGAAGAAGATTAAAATGTTAAGGAAGCATATCTTTCTCTTTTTGAGATAAGACAACCTTCGATCATCATCAATAAGTATTGAATGAATATAACTGAAGTTACAAACTTAAGGTTACATTTTTACAGCAACTGACCATGCCGGAAATACAGCGTCAGCTTCCTCCAATGAAGTTATTATCGACACATCCCCTCCTTTGAATGGTGAGCTGCAAATTTCAACAAGTGAACACGTGCAAGACACTTACCTTTATCTAACGAATAAAATGATATCAGTTCATTTATCTGATTTTAAAGATATAGAAAGCGGCCTCGATTACTTTGAAATTGGAATTGGAACTCAGCCTTTCTTTACGGATATCTTATCAACAACTGTTATGCGCGAAGAAAATTTTGTCATAAAAATGCAAGACTACGACATAACAGACGGCCACACTTACTATATATCAGCAAAGGTAAGCATATGATTTTGATTGTTATGTCTATATACATGTATATAATCAATATGGTATTAATTATCAATATTTAATCAGAAAAGTTAAAGTTTAAATATTATTATAAATGTTTGCGACATATCATTAACATATATACTTAACGATTTTTACAAATTAATTTCTAAACCAGTTTAAATTCAGTTTATATTTTCTTTAGGCTATTAATCGAGCTGGATTATCATCTGAGTTTACATATTTACGAACTATAGCCGACACAACACCTCCAAATGGTGGTCATGTTTTAGAAGGCCCAATCGGAAGTCAGGTAATTCATTTAATTTGAAAAAACATGCATAATGTCTTAATTTCTACTCCACGTTCACGTCCTTTATTTTCTCACATTGATTAGAATTAATTAAATTCTTAAAATGCAGGGATTTTCATTTAATGACACATTGAAATGTTATTTTCATTATCACAGATAGAAGAAGATTATCAATATGATATAACGGAAATAAACGTGCATTGGAATGGTTTTAGCGATCCACATAGTGGAATAGCCTTTTATAGAGCAGCTCTTGGGACCAAGCCATTTTCGGAAAACATTAAGCCGTTTGTGAATGTTGGACTTCTGGAATGTAAGATATTATAAAATCATGTTCGAATTGTTATAGAACTAATATACTTGAAATTAAAGAGATGCACACATGAATAGGCTGCTGAAATATTATAAACATCATATAATTATTTAAGGGAAAATTATAGATTTCAAACGTAAACGTATGTATAAATCACCACATTGTTGGTATAACTGTTCAATGATATATTTATTTCAATTGATAAAGATACCACGTGGCATGGAGAATTTTCTATTGGTGAAAAATATTTTACCACAGTAGAAGCATGTAACGACGCATGTCTCTGTATAGCCCGATCATCTGATGGTATTACTCTGGACAATTCACCACCAACACCAGGTTCTGTACAGATCGGTTCAGACGTGCTTCACCAGAAATATCAATCACATACGTAAGTAATAATTTGAATCATTGATAAAATATGTACATATATCTGTTACTATTGAAATCATGTACATTTTAGTCTTGTTTCCAAGCCATGTAGGTAATACGTAATATAAATGTTAAATATGCATAAATTTTATATTTCTGCAGGTCATCAGTACACGTGACATGGGCGGGATTTGAAGACCCGGAATCTAGCATTGGTCACTATGAATTGTGCATTGGAACAAGTCCAACAAATTGTGATATTTCAGAACGCACAAATTGTTTATTGCGGTCTAATATTATCAAAACAGGGCTTAGTCTTCCACTACAGACTCCTCTATTCGCAACTGTAACTGCTTTTAATAAGCTTTTGTTCAATGTTACAAAATCATCCGATAGCTTCTTTGTCGATGAAACACCCCCTCTTGTTTTGATAAGACCATTTTTTATTGTCGAGAAAAATAATAACCACTGGAAAATAGGTCAATGGGATAGATCTGTTTTACATATACAGTGGGAATTTATTGATGAAGAAAGCCCGATTGTTCGTCATTATGTTTCTCTTGCTACGCACCATGAGGGTCACACTCCCGTAGAAAATATACAACTCGGAGCCGAAAACAACCTTAAAATAACTTTGGATGGTAGGTCATGGCTTCATAATGGTGATACGTATTTTGTGACCGTAACAGGCTGTAACCTGGCTGGTCTTTGTATTTCAAAAAGTACCAATGACCTGATTGTAGATTCGACACCCCCGCATCTAGGTGGTTTCAAACCACCAATGTATTGGGAAAATTTTAACGGCTCCGTGACTGCAACGAAGTCAAATATAACACTTTCATGGTACGGTTTTCATGATCAGGAATCTGGAATTGAAAGATATTTTATCACAATAAGTAAAACATACAGCGGAAACGAGATAACAAATGGTGTGACAACCGTCAATGTTAATGTGTCTGATAGTAAAACTGAGCATACATATACATTTCTTGCAACTGACTATCTGGAAGGAGATGATCAGTTGTATTTAACAATATGGGCAGAAAACTCTGTAGGCCTTAACAGTTCAAAGGCACGGGCTTCAGTATTTGTGTTATCAAGTTCTTCGACAGCTGATGTTTCAAACCAAAAGGGTACTCTCGAACTTGAAAAACATTCCTGTGATATACATTACTGTAATAAGGATTGTACATGTGCAATTATTGGCAAACCATGTGTCGAGGTACAATCAAACTCGACTTGCGAAGAAATAGGTACTTCGTTGATAGATAAGGATGTTCCTGAAATTGAAGTTTTTAACGGACTAGATGAGAAATCCTTTAATATCACAACTTCCTCTGCTTGTCTCTCCGGAAGTTGGAAAGTAACTGATGGCAAAAGAAACACCACGAGCATATTACGATTTGAATGGAGTATGGGTTTACAGAACCAGCCTTTTGGGGAAGGGATATTTGATTTAAAAAACGAAATTCCATGGAATGACATAGGATTGCACTCACAAGTTGTACATTGCCTACCCGTAAATAGATCTTTAATAGCACGCGAAAAATATGTAATTTATGTTAGGGCTTGGCTTTCCAGTGACACTTATGCCACGTTTCATTCGGCTCCAATACTGATTGATCATTCACCTCCATCTTTGGTACGAGGCCGTACAGTTCTTGATTCTAATGAACTATGCAATGTGGATTTTGATATAATAGATTGGATGAATACAATTACAGTATGTTGGAATGGCGTCTTCTCAGAACAGCAGGGCACTATCGTAAATTATTTCCTAGCAATGGGGACGTATCCCTCTGGTATGGTCTTCTTCACTTTTGTTTATTCTTCAAAACTTGATAATAAATAACATATGAATAAGAATTTATTTCGTGAATTTTTAGATTACATAAATTCGTTTCAAATAAGTGGCATTTAGTTTTATAATGAAAAGGATTTGTTTGGATTCTTTGACATATTTTACATTTCCATATTGTGTATGACTTTAGGTGACGATACGATTCAACGACAAGATGTGGGTTTGAACTCTAGTTTCACATTCAACAATCTGTCATTGACGCATGGAACGAAGTATTTCTTCACAATCACAGCATATAATAACGTGGATTTGCATTCACTTGCTGTATCTGATGGTTTCATTGTCGATATGGACGAGCCGATCAGTGGTGTTGTCTACAACACTCCTAGGCATAGAAACGCACCATACCAGTCCTCAACTACAACCATTGGCTTATCTTGGCATGGATTTCAAGACAAGATTTCTGGAGTGCGAAATTACTATGTAGCAATTAGCGATACACGAACTATTGAAGCAGATATAAAATATATAAACACGGGACTTAGTACGAGACACGTTTTCAGAAATTTAGAATTAAAACATGGACACAAGTATTACGGTTTTGTAAAATCTGTAGATAATGTCGGACATCAAAGTGTAGTTGCGGTATCAAATGGAATAAAGATTGATAATACTCCCCCAACAGCATACATTTGTCAGACATATGTCGCTTTCAAACATGTATCAGAAGTATTAGACGTCATTGATAATGAAATGAACTTAACTTTCAATGCTTCCTTAAGCACATTATATAAAATAGTTGGCTATCTTTCGTTAGATAAAAGCGACGGAGCAAAACTTGTGTTTCATTTAGGTCAGTTTCACACGGTGCTTCCACTCATGAAATATCATAATCAAACACTATTCTTCAAGCATACCTTCTTGTCTGACAATACTGCTTATCAAACCATTTTGGTCGAATACCTCAATTCAAATAAAGAATATTTTGCTTTGAACATGACATTATATGAATGCAATAAGGCTTTTGAAAGCATTAAGGAGGCAATTAAACTCACACAGATTTCTAGGTCACAGGTTGCAGTAGAGTTGCTTGTAGCAGATAACGAAAGTCCTATAAGTGAGGTATGTGCAATTGTTTGTTTTAATATTCCATTATTTAATCATTATTTAGATAGGACTTTTAAATTTGTATTTAATGCACTTCATTTCTGAAATGTAAATAGTTATAACAACAGTAAGGCAATTTGTTGAGTGCACATTTTAACATTTATCATTGGGTTTTTTTCATAGATTCAAATAGGAGCAGGAACCACACCCGGAGGATTTCAGGTTAAATCTCTTTCACGAGTGCATCATCATAATCCTAACCATCTGTTACAAACCAACGTTCAACACAGAACCAATGTTTATGTCACAGCAATTGTTGAGAATAAGGCAGGACTAAGGACAGTATTCAAGTCAAAGCCTCTTACCATTGACCACACAAAACCTGTTGTAAAACATCTGTCTGGGAACCTGCGATATGTAGAAGAAAATGTATCGGGTATTGTTGACACTAAAACAATTGTGCATGCAGTATGGGATGTACTTGATGACGAAAGTGGAATAAGCATCTGCTATTGCTCAATAGGTAGTAATAATACATAATATACTTTTTAATGTTTCTTTTTAAAAACTATTTTCTAAGGTAAATATTCTTTTTTGTATTAAATTGTAGTTTGTGTTCCTTAAAGAATGTTCAGAATTTTAGTATTTTTAGTACTGGTAATTTTCTAATGTGTTTTTATGTAGATCTTCATTTTTCAGAGTCGAATCGCAATTTTTCTGATATATTCATATTTCAGGTCATAGCCCAGGTTTACAGAATATTGATTCAAACTGGATTGCACAAACAGAAACATCATGTGAATCAGATGGACATATTTTCTCACATGGTCAAAAAGTATTCCTAAATTTGAAGTGTTTTAATAACGCTTGGCTATCGGCTGAAGATGTGCTAGGGCCTCTGATTGTTTCACTTCAGCCATCCGACACATTAAATGCAAAATTGGCGTTTATACCACTGAGTGAGGAAGATAATAGACATTTTGCCCCTCCAGTGTTAAATTTGCCGGTACAATCAAATAACTCGTGCCTCCAGTTTAAATGGAGTGGATTTACAGACCTGTCTGGTATTGTGCATTATGAATACCGAGTATACCAAAATGAGCACGCTGTTCTTAAGGAATGGGAGAAAACTATTAAAGACATGGTAAAACTAGAAAATATTGATTTGATAAATGGGGAAGTCATTGCAGAAGTCAGAGCTATTAACAAGGGGTCATATATCAGCGACTCTGTAAATGCTTCACTTTTTGTTGCCAAGTATCCTCCCAAATTAACAGGTAATTGCAATATTCTCTAACAATCTATTAGTTTGTAAGGCTATCATTTTGAAATCAAATCTTTATAAAACAAAATAATTTACTATAACTCATATATTACGTTGATCGTTACATTTAAAACATTAACATTTTATTAAAAGTATTATCGCAATTATTACTTCCCTAAAATCTTTATTTTATTTCAAATTCATATATATACATATATATCAAATGATAAATTCAAGGGCACTTTGTAATGTCTTTATCTGTATTTTACAGGTATTTCAGTTAAATTTTGGAGAAAAGGAGCTGAGAAACTGCATTTAAGTTGGGCTGACGTATTTAATATTGAACCTAGTATTCAGGTTTCATTTAGTCTTACAATAGGTACGAGAAAAGGATATACAGATATCCTCGACATATATAATATCAGCGATGATAACATTGATGTGCCAATACCTAGATCTACGATCATTACACCTATAGTGAAGGAAGTCTTTGTATCGATCGACTGTATCTATGAGACTGGACTACGAGCTACATATGCTACTATTTACAAGCTTGCTTGACATGCAAAGACACACAATGCCAATTTTTCTTTTCCTATTTTATAAATGACAACCGTGAGTTTTTAATAATGGTTTTAGAGCATGTAAGACGCTAATCATTTCAAGAGAATAGCATTGAAAGTGTAAATATTTGTCATAAAAGTAGTAAAATGAAAACAAAATAGTAATTTGACTTCCATACAAAATACTGAATATCTATAATAAGTGTACTAATCGCAAGGAAGAAACATCAGAAGCAAAACATGATTCATGTAATTGTCCAATGATTAAAAGTAAGAAACTATAGCATCATAAAAAATTAAAAAGCTTTTGAGAAATAAAAATAAAAGCAAAAAGAACTTCGACATACAAAACAATTCATGTTCTGTTCCAGCTATTCCCTTTTGAAACCATTTGCTTTCTTCCTCGAACGATGCAAGATAGTTCTATAGTCGTGTTTTGCGTTACTTTGATATATGTATTTTCATGCTTTAGTTAATTAAATTATATCTGTTTATTTATCAAATTCAAAATTGTAACTACTGTCAATTTTATAGTTATATGTTCTTATATTATTAAGGTTTATTATTAAGGAGATGCTTAAAATATTTTGCAATCATTTTGACATACTGAACCACCAGATTGTATTCTGTGGTCTACAAATTTTTTATTTAAACTGGCATTACGCTAATTTTTACTATCAAGCTGAGATAAATAAGTTGTATATTTCAAAAGATGGACTTGATTTAATACAATATGTTTGCAGAACAGTTTTTTTTAAATATATTTTTATTTTATTTATATCCTTTGTTTAATTTTTATCATTATTATTACTCATTTCACTTTTTATAGGTTTAATTATTTCATATTAACGTATTGTTAATGTTCATTATGCTTTACTTAAAATATTCACAGTTGACATAAGTCTTTGTTCTTTTCTATCCTGTAATATATCATGATTTTGTACATAATTGTATATATTGGAAATACATGTATATGAAATAAATACTCTATAAACAAAAAGATTGACAATCATAACTGCTATTGTACAATACTTTATAGTTACAAATTTAGGATATAAACTTCCTAAAATATAAAAAAAACTGTCCAACTCTTAATTTAAATTGAATATTATCGATAAATTCCAAAGATATTAATGTGGGTCACGGGGGTCATTGACTACTCAAGTGACGTATATTATGAAAATGAAAACGACAATGTGACGACATGTTAAGTAAATTTTATTTTACCTGAACACTCACCATTTTCTTTGATAGGCATTATGTCACTTTCACTGATTAACTTGTCAATTATAAAGACTTTTAACAAATATATATGCATGTTGTATTTACGAATACCGGAAATTTGTGCCAGCTTAAAAATCATTTTTGAACAATATCAGAACTGCATTTAATACTTTACAATTGAATAGCGTTAAATCTCAAAATTTAGACATCATATTTCGTAAATGTAAAGCTGGTATATAGCATTGAGTTTCATTATAAGAAAATACAAAAAAACATTTTAGAAATGTCGGAGTTGTTATAATTTCTAACTACTTCAGTTACACCAATCTTCACAAGTATTTCGAATATACATGGTGTACTCGTATAACAGAAAAACAAATATGAATTGAAACACATTACAATAAATTGAGTCTTAAGAAATTCCTTAGATTAAGTCTAATTGTAGTGATATACCAATAATAATAATAATACATTTTAAGCTGGCTTTCTCTCACTGGACTTCCATTCATTAAACACGTTATCAGGGGATAATGTGGGAAATATGTCATCTGTCATCGTGGGAGGTCTATACAACAAGTATTAATAGATATAACATGTCCTATCCTGTAGATATAGTACTAAATTGTATGAATTCAAGAAATAATAGAGTTCACATAGTAAGATTTGCTTGTACATCTTAGTTTTATTTGGTGTTGTACTGCAAAATCATACCGTCTGTTGAGGCCGAGAATATAGAGTATAATACAACTCGGATATGATATACAATATAAAATACTGTGTGCTACAAAGTAAACTATGTATACTCTACCGTACCGATGATCATGTAATGTTCTGATAACATTATTCGTGAATGATAAATAGCCAACTTACATATATACCCTTAAATATACGAAATTGAGGCGTGTTATCATATATAAAATAAATGAGGGGTCGGTGGAAGAACATTTCATTTGAAAATTAGAGAGATTTTATTTTTTAATCAAAATCATGTGTATCCCACAATGAAAGCATAACATTGAAAACAAAGAAATTCTGCAAAAGTAATGCCAAATCTGTGTAATGTGTGACCGACGCGAGCTCAAAATGAATCTATATAATTTATAGCTTATAGCAAATGCATGAAACGAATAAGCGGCTTCGTTTTTTTTATAGTATTTCATATCAAACATTGTTGCATCAAAACTGCACATGAGAAGAAGGCATTCATTAATCCTTCATAAGAGTAGCCAGTTTAACGTTAACATGCAAAATACAGCAGGCGTTTCATTTACCAGACAAAACGAAATATAACAGACGCTAAATACTTAAATCAGACGATCTTATATTTTAATAAACGATGTTATCTATCGACTATTTAGCAAGCATTAAGTGAACTAGAATATAAACTATCCGCATCGATAAACGCAGTTTATTGTTCTGACTCAAGTGATATATAGAGTATAGCCTACACGTACTTTCAGTGTATACGATATTATGTGTGTGCTTAAAAATGACCGTGTGCTACAAAGTAAACTCTCTGTACAACGTTCGATCATTTCTGCTGAATAAAAGGCGCGCGATAGCTCGGTGTATCGTAGTTCGCTAAATGATCTTATAGCATTTGTTTTTAATTTTGGTTAAGTTAAATAAAGATGTCTAAATCGCAGACTGTTTCCATCAAGGATCTAACAGAGGATCAAATTCAAAAGGTAATTATTTCTTTCTTAACCTCTTGAATTCAAAGGGTAAAATATAATAGATTGTATTGTTAAACTTATGCTTAATAGTTCACGTTTGTTTACCCATCAGTCTGATCTTTTGTTATGCATTTTTTTAATTGCTTCTTTCGAATTAGTTTTTTAAATATTAATATATTTTTGATTATGTTAGGAACAGTTTGCTGAATTTTAAAATGCAAACATATGGAAAATATCAATTAGCCAGGTCACTGACATATCTATTGTTATTTACTCGTCTGACACATTTATGATAATAAGGTCAAGCCAGAAAACGTATAAATTAAATCTGTGACAACATGATTATTATCAATTTTATCTGGGAATATTCTTTTAAGTTTATTTATCTGAATATCTGTTTGACTAAAAGAAAGGAATTAGTCGGTGTGACATTAGTCTACATTGAATAATTTTGATTGGTTAAATTGATAGTTTCATAGTTCATTGAACGCATTTTCATTGGTTGATTTAATAGTTTTTTGTTTGAAGATTGTATTTTTGATATTGATTTTTGTTTTAATGATAATTATAGATAATCTGACTTTAGACATGAAAAGGTTAAATTTTAAATAGAAGGTGTCACAGTTTCTGCGGGGCATTTAAAATGTACACATAATAATTGCCAGTTTTATTGTTGTTATAATTATATACAGAAAAGAACTATCTTTAAACAGAAAAATAAACTACAAGCGTTATGTTATATAAAAGAAAACTCGTGGCTTTCAGATTAATATTGGATATTATAAAAGAAACACATGTCTCTCATTTTAATAGTGCATATTAGCAACCCAAGAACTGAGAAACATTTGTTATTTTTTATTTATTTTTTTATGGAAACAACATTTTTGTATAGTAAAACATATTACTTAAATGTTTACGTGAGGAAAGAGACCAGGGGAGAGAACTAGAAAATTACGTTTTGTTAGTCCATATTGATTACCCGCACCTGGGGAATATTGCAAACATTATTGACCGGGTGATATTCATTTCAGGGATGGTAAATCCAAATAATACATTGTGAGGTCACATTAGGCTATATAATAAAAAGTTTATGTAAGGTATAATTAAAATAATTATTACACGTTCACTGAATATCATGCAAAAGAAATATACTGATTTATTACATGCTTTTCGGTGGTTTATAGAAATATATCAGTGATATAAAACTGGTAATTTCACTGTTTGAAACAGTGAAATTACCACTTTGATAATTTCACTGTTTAGAATTTAAGCCCCTTACGTTGTTTCAGTGAAATACCAGCGTGCACAGAACTGGGTACCAACTTAATGACGTGACGTCGTAAATGACGTCACGTTGTATTATTATTTGGCGCGCTTTTCATTCAGTATTAGGTTAAATGTCTTTTTAAAACGTTTCTTTGCATATAATAAAAAGAAAATTTGTTTAGTTTAGTGTAAGATCTGCGCCACTCGTGAAATATACCTTTTGGTGCTCACTCGGTGAAATATATTCCGATCTTACACTGAACTAAACAAATATCCTCTATATAATTATGACAGAGAATTCCTTCACAATCCCACCTCTTCAAATTCATCAGCACCACAATAACCACATGATAAAAGAAGTTAAGCCTACCAAACTTCCTTCTAGGGCAACACTTAGGTTATAAATATGGTTTTTAACACGAGTCGAGATAGAGGAGTCAGAAGAATATTTGTCTTTAAAACTATATACCTATAATAACTTAGAAGAGTTATCAGAAACAAAAAGGAGGCATAAATGCTTCTGATGATAAATTATCATTCATTTTCAATATCCGTAAGAACCTATAAATGTAAAGACATGAATATACACGATGCCGACTTGCCCAAGACACACTGTCAAATATTGTGTAAAATTTACAGTCATAAGTCTTAACAATAAAGACCCCATGCTAGCTCACAATTGCTTTCTTTCTTCTTCATATTTATCAACAGTACGTTGTTTGCTTTGATTGTAAAATGGGCTATAACTGATTTAATTTTTAAAACATTTTTTCTTCTTTGCAGGCTTTTGAGAAAACGTTGAATCAATTTGAGCCAATTCCAGGTATCAGATTAGTCCGTATTACTGAAGAGTACTATGAAAAAGCTGTCAATTTGTGTCGTGATCATTTCCTGCCTAATGAACCACTCTCAAAATCTGTCGGTCTTACATGGAACGAGATAATAGAGGCTTACTGGCTGGAGGCACTTCAGCTCAATCTTTCCATTATGCTCGTTGACGAGAGCACAGACGAAGCTGTAGGCTTCAGAACAATTAGATATGCCCTAAAAGATGACAAATTAGAGTTCGGTGTTGAGCTTCCAGAAGAGTTGCAGATACTTCTAGATTTTACCGAGTACTGTGACAAACAAGCTGATTTCTTTGATCATTTCGGCGTTACTGAGACATTTCATTTTCTGTCACTTGTTGTTTCACCTAAATATCAAAGACGCGGCTTTGCTTCAAAGATAGTTCACGCTGCAATGGAATTGGTCAAAAACCTCGGTATCGACAATGTTTGTATCAAAGGGGAAGGTTCATCAAACTTTTCAAAAAAGATTTACGACAAAGAAGGATTCGATGTTCTGTATGAACATATGTACGATGAATGGGAGGTAGATGGTGAAAAACCTTTTTTAAACACGGGAGAACATAAATCAGTTAAAGTATATGGGAAAAGAATTCGTTAATAATTTCAAAAAGGTGAAGGCACGATGACATTTTATATAGATTTTAAAATGAGATGCGATAACAATTTGGCAAAAATATTTTTAAGCGTTTGGCATAAGATGTGACACTTTCACTATCAACGGAAGCAATGGTTTCTCTAATGTTATCATTTGTTTAAGCAAAAGATGTACATGTGTTAATATATAAATGACAACATAAATAATAAAGTTGTTCTATTTTACTGCCATTTCTCTATGATGTTTTATATCATTTCAAAGCATACTTCAAATGAAAGTCTTACTTTGTATATTTTGTTTTCTTTCAACTGATTATGGGTTCAAAAACATGTCATAAACCATTAAGTTATAAATCATAGAAGGCTACATCTAATGCTACCTTTATGTCAATCTACGTTAATGTGAAGTCAAATAGCATGTCTGTAATACATTAGAAAGTACGTTTGGGAAACTATATAATAAATATTTCTATAAATTAAACCAGAATAAAATAAAACAAGAATATAATTAAACGATGTGATTGACAAAATATTAAACTTATGATTTATATTAACGTGTACCACCTATTAATCAAATGCCACATACATGTTCAGCTATCATTTTGTTACAGCGTCAGTTGAAGAGTGTTGTTTGTAATTTAGACATTCAAACATTTGTTTTACAGAAAACGGTTGATAAACTGTATGAATAAGCAATAAAATAATCATTGATTCTTATACGCATCACTTATTTAAACCCTTTCCCTATGTTACACGAAAAATTATGACTTGATAAAGACAAGGATAAAACTGAAAAACATGACTCGAAAGTAAACATTTATTTATTTACACCTGAATTAATAATTTATAACACACATAAAAACAGGTGAGCTCGTATTAAAAATGAATTAAAAAACACCTGTATTGTAACTATCCGCCAAGATCTTCCTTAATCTCCATAGAGGTCGGGAAACATAAAACATTAAATATGAATTTCTTTTATAGATCAACGCTAGAACACGTAATAAGTAAAATCAAATGCAAAAGATATTGCAAAATATTTACATAGAATAAAAAAAAATGGTACAGGGGCGCGTTTCACTAACGTACTTATGTTATCGTAACTCGAGTTTAAACGTTTGAACTTTTTTGCGTAAGCAGAACTAAGGTATTTATTTGCATTTCACTAAATTTTCTTAGCTACGCATTTGGGTAAGTTTCAATGTTATAAAATTTACAAAAGTTTAAAAGTTACGGCGTAAATTTCACGTTCTGTTTAGTGAAACGCACCTATAGTAAGAAAGTCAAGATTTACGTAAAAAGATATGCAAAACTTGATGTTAGTGAAATGCTCGCCAGGTGTTCCACATTAAATGTTGGTGAAAATCATATTTCAATGCTTTTCAGTGTTTCATTTTTACACAATTATTGATCTTGAAAAAAAAAACGAAGTGAGTGAATAATCTGAAATTTTGCACGTAACTTGTTGACCTAGACCTTCATCCATCAAATGATACATGAATCTTGAAAATTGCCAGTTCGTTTTATCAGTAAAGCTCAATGGAGCAACTTTAACTCTCATCCAATAGCTAAACACTCAAACATGCTGTATACTAAAGTTTTAAGCTTATGTTTACATTCTAGTGACAACATTTCTTTTGAGTTTATATTGCAACTACAACATCTAAAATAAGATAAGAATATCTTTATTTAAACTGAGAAGTGTGTATAAACCATATAATTTTATCAAATAATGATATATTCCGGTCATCATTTTTTAAGTATAATATATTCAGCAGAAAGTTGTCTGAGAATCATTCATCATCAAAGTGGAGAGTTATAAAGGAGAAAATCAGTGGACTTATGATCCAAACGTTGTGGGTCAGTAACAGGCATCTCCAATATATTTCTGATTTTGCCTGATTGATACAAATGTGCAATTTAAAACGTTTTGGAAACAAAACGAGGGAAGTTATTGACATCTGAGCAGACAGTAAAAATAATGAATTTAGTTCAAACAGATGAATTTGGTGCAAACAATATATTTGTATGAAAATAATGTATAAAATTGCAATCTCTGCATTTTAAGAATATTTTATCATGCAAGCGGGTAAAAACATCCATTAACTACTAGTATATGTTAATGGAACAAAGACTTGAAATACGAGCACATGTTAAAAACCATCGTTAATAATAACCTGTTGTCGGTATCCAAGCATTACAAGGGCAAACTGAAGTTCTGTTCGCATTTAAAAAAAGCATAGTACTTAAATTGCAATTGGTTATTAATCATGATGACTGCTAAATAACCATTTTTTGAGAAATTAACAAAAAAAAACAATTAAATATATTTCATCAAAATCCATACCGTGTGTGGCTACCCTGGGTAAAGTGCGCACTCCCTGAGATGATTTTGCATCGCGTTGACATCATTAGCACCAGTAAAATGAATCACAATATAATCTTAAACGTATTAAGCTTCGCACGTTCACCAAAACACAACCAAACATCCGAATTACTTGTACGATAGGGCATCATTTGTGCTACATTCTGGTGCTATATCATGTGGACAGAAGCAAACTCGCTTCAAGACTGTAAAGAGTTGGAAGTGGTGAGGCGGTGATCTGGGGTAATGTGCACGTTCGTCAATTTTCGACTGGAAGTTCAGACATGATGACATACTAATTTTTTCCACTGTCAAGCTGAGTTAAATAAGTTGTATATTTGTAAAAGAATGACTATTATAATAGAGACAATAAATGATAATGGCAAATATTTAGGATAGTATAACATAACTAACCTTAAATATATTTGTAAAAAAACAGGCCCACTCTTTTATAAATTAACTATTATAACGCACACATGAGTAAACTCGAAATTACGATGGCGAAACGTTAAACGTACGGTCATGAAATAAGTCAAAAGTACGATTGTGAAAGCAGAAATAACGAAACCACGAAACTATTTCGTGTTTTCGCCATCGTACTTTCGACCTTTTAACATCGTGGTTACGTTATTTCGAGTTTTCATAATCGTATTTTTTATTTTTCTCACGTTTCAAGCGTTTTTGTTTTTGTTTTTGTTTTTTTTATTTGACGAAAGTCTGAAATCCTTAAATCGGTGTATTCGTATGTTAATTTTTTACTTTTGACTAAAAGGTTTCCGCTCTTAGAGTTGAAAAGAAATAATCCTCTGTAATTTCGAACGTGATTTAGACGAACGAACAAGACTCAAGCACGAAATTTTGCGCCAAAGTGCAAGAAACTTTGTAGAGAAACATGTCGAAACGCGGGTTTTACATAGGGCGCTTAGATTCAGACGGAATGCCGAAAGCGCTTTCACGTGAATAGAAGTAGAGATGTATGGGTTCCAATGTTTCCATAGCGATGTGGACACATTGACGAAATTGCTATTATAAATTATATGTTCACTTGATCACCTTTTTGTACGTTGATATTGCGCGACTGCGACCCTCTGGGCTGAAACACGGCAAATTAGAGTGGCCGGAACACGATAAACGAATTATCACAGCTTGGACTACATACATATGTTATATGTAGTGTGTAGACGCAAAAAGTGCGTTGAAAATTGAGAAAATGTCAGCGGGAATGGCGAGCGCGTACGTAAATTATTGTCAGGAAATTGATGACGTCGCTCTTAAAGTTGACGAGAGGATTCATCTGAACATTTTTTTATCTCACAGATACACATTGACTTTGTTAGTTCTATATTTAACCAGAGATAAGCAGGTTGTTATGAAATACATGTACATGTGTGACTGGTCTTTGTTATGTAGGAATTAAAGTAACAAATTAAGGATACGTTTTAGGGTTTGTTATTCAATTTCGGTTACTAATTAAAGGTGTTTAAGTTAAATACTAGATAGATGCAAACTATAAAGTATGTTGCTTAATTTGGATTATAAGATCTCTTTTTTCTTTCAATAATTAATTGATAATAGTTTCTGAAAAGTTTAGTAAATGTCATCAATCATGTTTACTTTTCGAACGAAAACACTCAAAATTTTATAAAAATAAATTCAGGTGCTATATTCAGGATGGGTGCCACTTGTGCCATTTGTTTATTGTACAATGAGCATCGACGTTACAAACGTGCAGTATTATAATATGTGACGTTTTTAATTCGAATTTTCATATATAACTGTTTTAATATGTTTAACATTTGTGTTTTTACGATCAGGAAAATATAGGTCGTTGACATACATAGGATAGTCTCAAGATGCTGCAATCCAAAATTGGTAGGATTATTAACAGTAAACGTAAAGCTATATCATACAATGATACGCCTATTGCTAACATAAGAGTGTAACGTACAATGTTCAAGTTATATATTATTTCTGTTTTATTGCTTGTGGTTACAAATATTTAGTTGTAATTTAGTCGTTTTTCGGCGTTTTCCGGTATTACAAAATAATAAAACGGTAAACGGTAAATAGTATTACATTCATGCAGGTTTATCACTATTTTTTAACTCATTTAAAGTCACTCGCCTCCAGATGATAAATTAAAAGAAAAAGAATGATATTAAATTTCAAGTAAACGGTTAATACTGGTCTTGTTACGTTTAATGTACAAATCCATTATTACATCTCAATTCAAGAAAAAATATGGACAAAAGCGTGAAGAAATCGTGTTTCTTCTTTGCATAAACTACTGTCGCAAAATAATGCAGTATCATATGAATATGAAATGTAATTGATTCAACATGGTCAAGTGTCACAACATTGGTGCATCTGGTACGCCCAGGCTCGTATATCAATGTTCGTTAATTGGCAGGCCCTAATCATATTAAATCGATAAACTGGTAATTATAAATATGATACCATTGTTCAATTATAACGTTAAGGACTACAAGTAAATATCATAATAATAGCAGTTTATTCGTTTCCCTCTATGTATTAAAATACGATCCCGGATTCCGTGCGTTTTGAAACACATGTCGCAATACATCACGTGGTGCGAGAAAAGAAAACGGATGAAATAATTCCGTATTAGATATCCTGTTTGCGAGGAAAAGCGAACATTTTTGCCAGAGGAAATGCTAAAATACGACCATTTTAAAGTGTCATTTCGATTTCTTTCTTCTTTTGAAGAGAGATTTTGAAACATTTTTACGACGGAAGATTTTCTGATATCTTCTGGAGGCGTGTTGCTTGAATAAAACCATATTATGCTCGCCAAAGGCTCGCACCTTATATTTTAAATCAGTTTTTGGGAAAACGCTATGCTATACGTAAAACATAAGAAAATCTAAACTGTAGACAGATAGTTTAGTATTAAGCCTACACTAATTTAATACCCTATATAAAATGTATTTATAATGAAAATAAAATATTGTATAATCATAATATCATATGTTGCTTTTCAGGTTTCGTGCTAAATGTTTTATTCATTGTGTATTTTACATCAAAGTCAGGTAATTGTTATCTGATAACATTTTACTGAAAACAATTATCGAAACCAATATAAAAACCATTACGTAGCCATTATCGATAAAAAATATTTAAACAAGCATCGATACCTTATCGGCACAAATATCTGAATAGGGTAAATGTTTTGTAAAGCATACGGACTAATCAAAATGCAAGAAATGTATATCTTGCAGCCGATGGTAGGATTTTAGTTTTATTTATATTTTCTCGATTTATGAAAGATAATTATTGATATAAATTACTAGCACACAGGGAAAGAAATATAATTTTCAGCAGAAGATCAGCAGCATATTAGCACAAAACTCTCACATATTTTTAAGGCAGTATTTTCATCCTTAATATCAGAGCTTGAAATAAAAAAAAATCTTAAAATTATGCTCGATTTAAGAACGTTTAATGCTTTTAATTTTAAGCAAATGGGCAAACTGGCCAAACGGTGACCTTGGCATGTAGGAGTTGCAACAGAGCTTCTAGCCTAGACCAATGTAGCGGATCTTTAACATGTGGCGTCAATGAAGTAAGCCTTCATTTCAAACCCCGATCCACTAGACAGGTCATTGTTTCGATGATAAGTGTGCGTGGAAAAGTAAATTGCAATCCCTTTTATCAAATGTGTTCCGAATGTCGGAAACCTATTGAGGGTAGCCTCTTTCAAGTAAAATGTTTACTTTTTTATATTTTATATTGTTAAGATATGCTATTTGGACGAGCTCATTACCGATCAGAAGACAGTGGTATACAATGCTGGTTGCCGGGCCATCTTCAAAATACTATTTATTTTTTTATTATTTTTCCATACATTTAAAGAAGAACATGAAGTGTGAACGCATTCATTTTTTTTAAATAATTTACTTCAACAAAACCTGCCATCTAACGAATTCTTTGATTAAGCTTGATAAAGAAATACTTTTATAAATGGTTGTATTATTTCATTACTTTCTCGATTGACCTTTGAGTAACACAAAAACTGTTAAAGTATTATGGCAATATCCACCTTATTTTGGAAAAAGGTCGAATCCGGCGATGATTGTGTTAATAAGTCTCTACAAAATGATATACACACTTAATGTACAGTATTTAACATAACTTAAAACTATTTATGAAGTACGCATACAAAGAGGATGGGTCTTATGTAATTAGAACGTTAAGCATTGCCTTCCCCTTACCAGCTCTTCAGTCATAGAGTAAGTGAACTAAAAAACAAATCTTTTTTTTTTTCAAACACGGATGCTTTTTGTTCGAGAATCTTAAAGAAATTACACATTTTAGGTGTGCAATGCTGGGAGCAGCAAACCATCAATCGTAGCAAAAATGCGAGCTTCAAAAGAGAGGAGATCTGGTTGCATGCTCGGCTTGTTGTAATAGACCAAGTTATTCCAGAGAACCAGAATGTAACACACGATTGTGTGGCATAAAATACGATGAATATTTTGGAAGTTTTATTGTTAGTGAAGATTTTAAAAATGTTGTTTTTATATACAGCTCAACAAAAATGGTTAATTCAATATATTAGACATACAGAAACTAGTGGAGATAAATGAAAATACTGAATGTTTTAATTGTATTCCTCTGCATTGGGGTCGTAATTTTATTTTAGAATGTGGACACACAAACGTGTGGCAAGAGGTTGACGTAAAGGAACATTCCTAGATTGGAGCTGTTGCGAGATATCAATTTACAAATTTAACATGGTTCAAATGATTTATGAACATCGATGAAGCCATACATTAGTAAGTACAGCTTGACCAACTACTTTTGCTGACGTACATCTTCATACAGGAACACAAGAAGAGGAGCCATTTCAAACAGCATAATAATAATGAATTTGGACACGATGTAAATATGCTGTATCTGGCATTTTTTTACTCAATTTGACACATGAATCTTATTAAGCTTATGATAACATGACTTTAAGAGAGACTAATGAAAGTACCAACGTAAAGAAAATGGAAAGGGAACATGAACTGTTTATGGTAAATATTCATGAACAATATGTTGGAAGAGAATGTGAGAAATGAACTTTCTACTGAAATTAAAATCAGATCAAACTTAGATGTTATAAAATGTGGTTCAAACTTAAAATATTGAATAAAATTCTTTGACATATGATAAACAAGATCATCAAGGAAAGGCGGCGTTCAATTAACGCAACCCCCACACGATCCAGCAACAAGAGCAAGTGGCAAGGAGCCCAGGATGACCCCAAACAAAGTCAGGACAAGACCGCCTACTTAATAAAACACTGATGTGAGTCTATGCTTGAACAAATTTGCCTTGTTTCCTAGCTTGACTTTTCTTTGCTATTTTATCAAATTCAAGAAATCATATATTTTTTCGATGGCGTCATTTATAAGGGATTTAACGTAATAGCTGTTAGTATTTAACTATGGCAAATGATCGTTGTTTAAGGTGCAAACTAAAGCAGTGCGTTCCATTTTTCTCTGTGCTTAAAGGTCCATTCTGCACAAGAATTGCAATTCCCAGAACAATCGATTTTACTCGGGTACTTTTTTCATACCTGTAATATTCACGGAGAGGCATCTGACGTCTTCCACAACCAACTAAGCTGGAACTATAAAATCAAAGATCAACAAGAAATAGCGGCATTCAGAAAACGCATCCCCCAACATAACCCAGCAACGCCGGACCACCGGTAAGGGTCCAAACAGAACAGAAACAGGAGATGGCAAAGAACGGACTGCTACTTGTTATTATAATACAAAGTATGAAATCAAAGCAAGCGACAAAAGGTATAAGAGACGATAATTAAATAATAGGACAGGAATGTCAAGAAGCATTTGTTTATCTTTATATACAATATAAAATTGCGATTTATTTATATAATAACTATCATGCAATAACTTTTATTACATGTATGTTTATAGAAAACGAAAGTAAAAATTTATATCTGTTGACGATATTTCTGATATAGTTATACTTTTTTGACTTCGGACATTCTTTTATTAATTCTGATCGTCAGACATATTTTTCAGTCATACTTTTACCAAAGAGATTTTTCAATAAATGTAAAATTGGTACATCCGTGTCTCATAATATAAAAAGTACACCGTCCGTACTTTCAAAGATGATTATGAAAAATCGTCGAGGCCATCAGATTGGATGGATTTCGTTCTCATGAATTTCATTTATTGTAATGTCTTCTCATTAAATACATGCTACATAATCGACATTAAGTGGTCCACAAAAACCTACATATTCTTATTTTAAAGCAAACACAAATACGAGCACGTGCTATTCATGTGACAGCAGTTCATCGGGTCAGGGTGATGTACATGAACCCAAGGATTGTATATCGCAGTCTGTGTGTCAACCAAACGAGGTATGATATTTAATTGTATATCTAGACAAACTCCGTCAGTTTTGTTCTATTAAATTACGTTTAACACAGTTTTGCTGGTCTTAGACCGCCGTTTGACTTAAGAATAAAAGTAATAAGCTTTCAATCCATACTATCACTTTTCAAATACTTGTATTACATGAAAACATTATTGTGCTTGTCTGGAAAAAGCTTGAGACTGGCTAGATAAATTTATGTTTACGGAGTATGTGAAATAGTTTCTGTTTGTCCTGCTGGCTGGTGTTTCAACAATGTATACATTATGCTATTACTGTAAGTCAACCAAGGTCCTGTAAGGCTTTATATGAACAGGCTCAATCAAATAGAGCCTGCAACTTTTTCATTTTTTGTGCGTTCTTTACGGATTTTTATTTTTCTCTATTTTACTGCTGACACGGTCCCGGTTGCTTTACTGCTTTCACTTATAAAGTTCATCTTGGCTCTTCTGGAATAGACTAATCTAAACGTATTCATGTCTACATTGCACAATTCAATTCTAAAACCAAATAAAAACCTCCCGCTGGACTGAGTCACCCACTAGGCTATGCGCTTAAGCAAACTTTTGTCATTAAACATGTTGTTTCTTTACAGGCATGTGGTGTACAAAGATACGATTATTTAGGGTCAGACAGTCATCGATATGTGTGCTTACCAAAATTAGTATGTATAAATATCTATGAATTAAGTCATCTGTACGCTTACTTAAAAAGATACACTATATGCATCAGACGAGGAAATATAGATTGCAAATATATTTAAGGCAAAATATAAAAACTTGTAAATACAAGTTTACTTAATATAATATAGTATGTGAATTCTGAAAAAAAGAAAAAGGGGGATGATCCAAGAAATCAAAAATTTAGGCTCGTTTATGAGATAAAAAGTACAACATTTCCCACGTGCTCTGAACAGTGTTCAATATTCAATATTAAATTCTTAATTAAAACAAAGGGTCCATGATGAAGAAATCTGTCTCAGATTTGTACTTTGCTGACGAAAGACTTTAAACAAGGGTGCCATAGTCACAAAATACGCCCGTTTACGAAAAAGCTTTAGATGGAGATGGGGGCATTATGGATAAGTGTTATCTAGCAAGCAAGTTTTTATTCTTGGCACTGTGTTGTTAAATGAACCTTAAAACAAATCAATAGGGAAGATATGCACAGAATGTGTGACCTTGACCTTGGTCGCAGGGACCTGAATTTTATGCACAGCACTCAGCCTCACAATGATGAACATTTGTGCCAAATTATATTGAAATCCCTCTATGCATGTAGAAGTTTTGCTCCAGACAAGTGTTTTTCTATGAGCTCTAACTGTGACCTTCACCTTTGACCTAGAGACTTGATTATGTGCAGGGCACTACGTCTTATGGTGGTGAACAATTTCTATAAAAGTAACATTAAAATTCCTCCATGCATGTAGAAAATATGCTTTCCGGACAACATCTGGATATTTAATCATCTCCAGTGACCTTGACCTTGCAAATATTAACCTAAATTAAATGTGTAACACCTGTAGTCATGATAGTTACCATTTGTGCTACAATCCATCAATAAATGATGGACTAAATGGTCCCTATAATCCATCTTCAAATTTTTATCTGAACTTTGACCTCTATGTTGTAACCTTGACTTTGGTCGCAGGGATCTGAATTTTTGCATGCGACACTCAGCCTCACAATGGTGAACATTTGTGCCAAGTTTATATTGAAAACCCCCTATGAATGTAGAAGTTTTGCTCCGGACAAGCGTTTTTTCAATGAGCTCTAAGTGTGACCTTGACCTTTGAACCTGGAGACCTGGATCATGCATGGAGCAATACATATCATGGTGGTGAACATTTCCATAAAAGTATTATAAAAAATTCTTCCATACATGTAGGAGATATGCTCCAGACAAAATCTGGATATTTCACCATCTTTAGTGACCTTGACCTTGCATATATATTGACCTAAAGTACATGTGTCAAACAGCCTTAGTCATTATAAAGACCATTTGTGTTACAATCCCTCAATAAATGATGATTAAATCGTCCCTATACACATTCTTCATATTTTTATCTTTTTTTAACGGGGCGTATAAAAAGTACATGTAATTTAATAACTAAAAAAATTCTGATTTTAGATTTTATTCTAGGGAAATACATTTCATTACAATTCTTAA